CATCGTTGCTTACATGCTCGCTCCATGATATACTTAGCATCTTTCTGTAGAACCACATCTCCGCTGCCTCGTTGTTTCTTCTTCATCTTTGAGGAGACCGTCTAACATTCGCTGCCGTATAGATTGACAGATGTCACCTAGCAGCTCAGTACTCTTTTCTTTGTCATCAATTAAATCCTCCAGATTCGCAGTACTCTCCCCAGGTTTTTTGTAATGCAACCTTGGCCGTCTACGGATTTCAGCGTCGCACCTAGCGTCCTCCGTTAAAACTCTTTACAGATATTTTTAAGATCTTTTTTTTTTCAATCAATTCTATTTTGTCTAAAAAGTATTAATACTATTGCAACACATATTCCTCTAGCAAGGTTTGTAATTTTCAATATACTAGAATTTTCTGCAACTCGCTGGCTCGTGTTGAAATCCTCACAATATTTAGTACTATTGAAGTTCATTTTAACCATTTTTGTCGAGATTTACAAACTCTACTCTCCCTACAGTGTTTATATTTAAAGTGCTTCTACTCTGCATTATATTTTACCATAGTGAAATATACCTAAATACTTAAAGAAAAAGATATGTAAAAAGCAATATTGCATATTTATTAAATAAGTAAAGTTTTTATATTTAATCATTAAATTGTTTTTACAATAGTGGGTTCATTTTGTATGTTAAATAGTGAAACTTTTAATTATTCCCAAAAACATAATGAAAATTTATTGTACTAAACTACGCACCCTAGTTAAACCAACTTCAATTTTTACCCACTTACCTGTTTGCAATTTTCCCTAAATGTTTGGTTTCGATCGGTCAATATATTGCTATTTTAGAAGGTGTGACGGACGCATCGGAGTCAAAAATTATATATATATATATATATATATATATATATATATATATATATATATATATATATATATATATATAGAATTATATAGAATTATATATATATATATATATATATATATATATATATATATATATATATATAAAAGCATTTTTGCTATACTCATTTATCAACACTTGTAATTTTGAAGAGAAATACATTTTCATCTTGATACTGATTGCATAATCCGCTTCATTCTGAACCGTATTTTGTTAGATTTCTTCGTGTCTCACGGGATGCTAGCGATCTTGGCTTTCTACGAAATTCCTGTCTTTTGCAGATAACTCAATGGTACGTTGGAATACTCTTTAATAGAAAACGAAGAATTTGTATTTGAATTTGTACCGCACGCAAAAAAATCTTTTTTTTCATTTTAGTGTGAATTCAGACCACTCCTCTGTTATCACTGGCACTGAGATCATTGACAAGGAACACCATTGGAAAATTCGTAAACTTAAGGAATCAGCACACATGCTAGGCCACAAAAATCTCTGAGCCGACCAAGCATAGAAATAAATACAATATGGGAACCAGTAATAAGGAGTGCCAGCGAAAAGCAATGATAACAATATAGTTGCAATATGAGCTCTGATAAAAACATGTAATGATAACAGCAAAAATTGCAATATGAGCCCTGGTAAAAATGGTTGCTGAAGACATTAGTTTTATAATACCCAGAATTTCATACCCAAATGTCCTCAAGGCACAGTGGATAAAGGCGTTAGTTAGATCCAGTGACAGGACACAAAGAGTGTGAGTTCAATACCCTGTTAAGGCAGATGGAAATTAACAGGAGATAACTGATAACTGACATCCATCAAACATGGCACGTGGAACTAGAGCAGTCTACCCCGGTGAGCGAAATAAAGGGTTCAGTTCGGCATTCCAACCACCTGTAGAAGACCGGAGCGTACAACAGCCGAAACGTTATGATGAATATGACGACAAAGATGAAGACACTAGTTTGAATAATGTAAATAATGTACATAATACCTCATCTCAGAAATATAGACAGACTCTGAAATTTTGTCTTTCTGTTATTTCTCGTAAATGCTATTTCGAATCAATTCACAAAGTATGTTATGCCTTGTTTTACTCTCCCCCATTGCCTTCAAACTGCCTTGTATGTATCAGATTTTCCAAGCCTTCTTATCTCATTATGCTCCCATATATTTCAGCTGTATCTTCCTGATATAAGGTACAAGTTTCCTTTTTTTCATTTCCTGTAAAACTTCATTGTGGCTCAGATATTCATCTAAAATATTCTCAATATCCTTCTGTAGAATCTTCTTTCTGTTATTTCAAGTCTCTTCTTCATCTTGAAGGAGGTTGTGCAGCATTCACTATAGGATGAACAAATCTAAGTCGCTTATTACGTAAGAGTTCAGTACATTTTTCTTTGTGTATAACGAGGTTTTTTGTTTCTTAATACTCTGCTTTCAGCGTCCGATTTGAGTGTCTCTGTTAAAACACTTCCCAGCTATTTTAATTTCTGAACTTGTTTGATTTTATTCGTTCCAATTTTTAATTTGTTTTAATAAACCGTATTAACAACATTTACCGGTCTGAATGTCCGGGAAATGTCATAGAAAATATGTGTCCTTCGACAGAATTCGTTATATAGCCTGACGTACTATATAGGAAGCGCCTGGTCAATAATGTCGAATTACTGCTTTTAAATTACAAATTTCCCATTTCTCTCGAATCAGGTAATAGACCTTATGACGAAGCTTAACTTTTTGCTGGTTATTGGAGAAGGTAGAGGATTGACTGTGCAGACTGTAAATAGCAGGACACTACCAACCCACCTAATGGGAATTGGTCGGCAGCGAGGACTAAGAATGATAGTAGTAGTAATGCATGAATTTATTTAGAAGGCATGATGGAATAATGGATAGCGGCTTGGATTGAAACATTTCTAGTCTAAACTATTACATTCACGTGCTAAGATCTTTGGGAAAGGCATGAATCATCTTCTCCGTCATATCTACGGGTTTATAGCAGAACAGATCGGCTTCTATAGCCTTGGATGGCAACTGGTCTACAGCAGAAAGAAATGGTAACCAACTGCGGGAAATAAATCTACCTCGTCAGTAATTCATAGGAAGATACATGACGCCTAAGCATGTATCACGCATGCAACATAACTGATTGATATTCCCTTATGTGCTAAAACTCTTGGCAAAGGTATGAATCCTCTTTTTCTTTCCCCCACACCCATCTATGGGTAAATAACAGAACAGACCGGGTTCTATAGCCTTGGATGGCAACTGGTCTACTGCAGAAAGAAATGGCAACCACCTGCGGGAAAAAATATATCTCGTCAGTCATGTATCGAAATGTACCTGATCGCCTACGTGTGTATCATGCATGGCATATAACTGACTGATTTAGAAGTTACCTCAAATACAAACCCACAAAACGCGCCAGGATACGCATTTTTTTTTATAAATTTCCGTGTATTCATTATTTTATGAAATGTCATTAGATCAAATTGATGCAGTAAGTGTTGCAAGGATTTGACTGTGCATTTTTCAGCGACGACACTTCGTTTCATCCGCAGAGAATCACAAAAGCGTTTCACGCTAAGACATTCATTTAAACTAGCGATACTAGGAAAAAAAGATTTTTACAAAGCAAATCGCTTTTTGAGTGGCACAGTGGAAATAATTTACATAGATATTGATCTGAGAACTATGTCGCAATGAGCAGTATCGTTTATGCGCGAGCAATTCAAATTTGTATTCATAGACTGCTGATCGTACGGAATCCAATCAATGGCCGAGCGTTTTAAATACAGAATGCAAATAACGGAAAAGTGACAGACGAGCGCGCACGCGATGAACAAACAACCCCCTCTCCGGCCGCCACACATATATAAACAAATAGAAAGATGTGAAAATTGAGCAGGAAAGTTATCTGTCCCTTCAATATACAATTTAAAAAGAAGAAAAAAAGAAAAGAAAAAGAAAAAGAAAAAGAAAATATATCTAATGTTTCGTAATTTGGTCAGATTTATTCAGGGAGTGCACCAGTCCGAGAATATTTGAGCGAACGTTTTACATTGAGAAACTCACTAACGCTAACACCCGCTAACACTAATCTAACATACAGAGTGCAATGGGTAAATTGTCGTTATTTTATATCTTCAATTTCTCGAATGTGCGTTCTTTGTTTTTTTATATTCTCGGCTACAAAATTATGTTGAATTGTGCACCGTCTGTGAGAAAAGGAGCACCATGACTCAATTCACTCCAATAGAAATTTGGAAACGAAATACTGCACTGTTTGCATTCGCGTCGAAATCTCTAATAAGAATATTTCAGAGTCGATCTGAGGACAGTGCATAGCATTCTGAAAGAGCCTGTTCCGTCTAATGGTGATTACGAAAGTACTGCAGATCGGAAAACTTACTCTGATCGTTCTGATCAGATAGGAAGTCCCGAATTTGTTGTGGAGGGTTTCAGACTCAATACGTATGTCTACATCAAGTAACTTGAGGAAGTAGCGATGACCTATGTCAAGAGGGTGGCTGCTATAAGACCCTTTTCTAAACACAGGTCTCTGCCCCATACCGCATAAGTAGGAGAACTCAATCATGGTTGTCACTCTTTATATCTGGCTACCTTATTCCCCAGGCTGTAACCCCTTGATTATTATCTATGGGGTGCAGTTGGGCGAGATACCAAACAGAACTCCTTGCAACACCAAAGATGTACTGAAGACAAGGTTTATGTTACCATTCAACAAGTTAAACAAAAAGACCGTCAAGAAGAGAGGCAGTTGGTTTCGAAGTAGTCTAGAGGCCGTAGTCGAAGCCAATGGCGATGTTGTTAAGAAATATAATCTTTAGTATTTTACGATATTTCTGTGAAATCTTGATAAATATATCTATTAAAATAAGGTGTCAGTGTATTTTCATTTCTGCGCAATTTAGTCGACAGTTTATGCATCACATCGTGTATATGTACGTATAAACGTAAGGATAATGCGTACTTTGCACTCTTAACCAAATGTTGCCATATAGGCTTTCAAAACACTTTAGGCAATCCTATATGCATGCATATTTATATGCCATACATATGAACAAATCTTCAATTAAATCTTTTTTTAGGAACATATCACTTTGAAACACAGGTTTCCATACGATCATCGAGGTTAAGCAACGTCAAGCCTATTCAGTACCTAGATGGGTGAGCACTTTCGAATACCAGGTGCTTTAATCTTGCATATGCGGGTTTTGTAAGGGAATTTTTTAATCGGAGAGCCGAGTTTCATTTTCCATTAGGTTCGTTATACTCTGTGAGGCGCCTTGAGAAAGGTATGAAGCCAATTTTTCTCCCAATAGCTGTAGGTTAATTAATAAGATTTCTATTAACTAAACCAATTATTTCCTCCACATCAATATCTCACAGTCTAAAACTATTGTCTGGCTTTAAATAACATGCAAAATGTACATTAAATAACATGCAAATCTGTAGAAAACAAATCACGCAATCAATTAAAATCTTGACAGAAAAAAGTACACACCCTCATTCATATGACACCACAGAATAAGTAAGTTTGACTTACTTGCATTAAGATGAAATGAGAGCTCCCGAAAAAAAACCCTGATTTCTTTAATTCTTTTTAAATTCGTTTTTCTCGGAAATCTGCAAAACTTTTAGTCTATTAAACAAAATAATTCTAGTGTAATGTATTTTTATGTCGATATTAACTAGAGATAAATGTTTACTTTGAATTCAAAAAAGTTATGATCTTTCATTTTTTGTCCTATGAACCAGAGTTTATGATTGCTATTAAAAATTTGCCTTTACTCTAGGCCTCTCTCCTTTCATCAGAGGAAGGAGAAAGTATATATATTTCCCTGAATTCGGGATTCTCTGAAACCAGGCAATGGTTTTGATTTTGTCAAGAATCGCGAGAGGCACAGCAGGAGCACCAGACCTGATATGACAACCATATTCAATTCACGGACGGATGGGAGATTTATAAATGTGCAAGATGAATCAAGATGAAAAAAATTATTTACATTCGGACTAATACTATTGCCTTTCTTGTTCTTATAACGACGTTTCAGTGCTTGAAACCTCTGACATTCTTCAGTTTTCAATAAATCCAGGTAATCTTCAGGGAATTTTCATTTGGCCATTTTATTTCATATATGGGATAGAGCGTCCATGTTACACTGTTCACGTTTCGAGAAATCTCGTCGTGTTATATTTTTTATTACGGCTTTGTATTTGCTCATATTCTTTCCGCTGTGCTTGTCCTACAACGAGGATATAGATGGTATTTATCAATCCACCCACGGGGATCGAATGTGGCACAAGGCCTTTTTAATGTGGGTATCTCTGAGCCCGTAGGCCCAGCCAAAAATAAATAACTATCCAAACCCGCCGAGGCGGGCCAGTTCCGTCAACCTCCCCCAACGAAACCCTACCCTTCGGCGGAGCTTCGTCCGGATTCCTCTCTGCAAGCAGAGAGTTCGACAGACACCCGACCCGGCAGCTCACAAAGCGCAGATACTACACTTTGATCCATCCTAGCCACCGGGCCGAGGACAACGAGGATATAGATGGTATTTATCAATCCACCCACGGGGACCGAATATGGCACAAGGCCTTTTTAATGTGGGTATGTCTGAGCCCGTAGGCCCAGCCAAAAATAAAACCCATCTAAACCCGTCCAAGCGGGCTAGTTCCGTCAACCTCCGCAGAGCTTCGTCCGGGTTCCCCTCCGCAAGCAGAGAGTTCGACAGACACCCGACCCGGCAGCTCACAAAGCGCAGATACTACACTTTGATCCTAGCCACCGGGCCGAGGACAACGAGGATATAGATATGTGTATGGTGTTTTGTTTCGAACATTTATATATACTGGTCAATAATGCATTATGGGTATAAGTTCTATTGTGTTATCCTAACGTTTTTTTTAATATGAATTCACGCATACACATGGAGATTTTCACCTTAAAGCATGTTTTGCTGTTGCACATTTGTTGAGCAATAGATTTTTTGATGAAAAGTGGGCTTAATATATGATCCTAGATGTACATATACCGCAGATGACTACGGAAATAGTCGAAGTTCAAAAGGTTTTGGCATAAATAAATAAAGTATTATTTTGAGTAAATATGTTTATTTTGTTGTAATTTATAGATGTTCATAAGCATGCGCATACATACATACACATCTATCTATCTATCTATCTATCTATCTATCTATCTATCTATCAGATCACCTTAAAATCCTTCTTTTTCAATCTATCTATCTATCTATCTATCTATCTATCTATCTATCTATCTATCTATCTATCTGTCTTGTGTAGAATTCGATGTGTTTACAACGGAAGAATACACAATAGCAGATACAGAGCGTTTATATAAATAGTTTGGAAATTACACTTGGCCCTTGGATCACACATAAAAAGTAAAACTACTAAATAAAATGCGGTGTTGTTTCCTATGCCATTTCTCTCTCTGTATCTCTTTCTCTTTCTCACTGTCCATCTCTCTGTACTCCTCTTTTTCTGCATATATATATATATATATATATATATATATATATATATATATACGCACACACACAAAGGTAAACATGCAACGGTCCGCATTTTCTTCATAACATAATATTTGGTTTGTCATTCTCCATTCTCCTCATGCATTTCTTGTAATTGGTACGATTATGGTTACTTGATGGTTGCTTGAGCTCGATCGCGCTAGTTTTCTTCTTGCTCTTACAGCAGCACGTTCTCTGCATATGCGTGTCAACGTTTCTGTTTTTTCTTTAGTGCAAACTGTTAGCATAGATGGCAAGTTTACATTGTAACAGCAGCAAGAAAACTGAACAGATCAAGCTCAAACATCGATCATCTGACCAAAATATTCCCTACAAACACGCATGACCGGAAGCAGGGTGACAAAACTAAAGATATGTAATGGCAAAAAAAGCGGATAATTTTTTTACTTACCCTCGTGTATGCATATATATATATATATATATATATATATATATATATATATATATATATATATATATATGTATATATATATATATATATATTACACGGATCATTCACACAAAAAAAAGATATAGAAGTTAATGAATTAAATGGCGAGAATACATCCTCGCAAACAAATTTAATAAAATACATTAACCCCGAACCTCTATATAAATGTTATGATCTCTGTTTATAAATTCCAGTTGCATAAGGTCTTTTTTAGTTTTTTACAGGCTTTCATCTGTTCCTACAGACATCATCAGGTATGGAAATAGATTTGTTTTTGTTTTTTATTTCTCGGTAATAACAGGACAACGAAAATATAGATGTAATCCGAAAAATGCTTTTAGAAATGTGTTATTACTAATTGTAAGAAATTTTTGGAGCGTGCGGTGGCAACGCTGAGGTTGAATTTTTAAATTTTAAGATTGTGCGTTTTTGTACTAATATGGTAATAAGAGAATTTGTTTGTACTGGTAGTATTCTCCTTTTACCATATGCGTGTGTGTGTATACGGCTATCAATTGGGCGCCAATCAACAAACCAACATTTTACAGCAACTTTTATACTGGCTTCCTGTTATGTGTTCGACCCACCTCCGTTTTCTTATTTAATCATTTTATTGATATCCCCTCATCCAGATCGCTACTGATCTATACTGACCCCTACTGATCTCCGAGACACGGTGGTGTAATGGATAGCGGCTCAATATCCATTACATTAATTTACGTGCTAATACCCTTGGGAAAGTTATGAATCCTCTTCTTTTCCCCCCAGGTTCTAGAGCCTTTTATGGCAACTGGTCTTCCGCAGAAAGAAATGGCAACCTACTGCGAAAAAAAAATCTGCCTCGTCAGTCATGTATCGAAAGATACATGATAGCCTAAACGGATGGCACATAACTGAGTGATTCTTTTCTCCTTCATAGTGTCAAATGTTCCATCATTTTTTTCTATTTTAAACTCTATTCGTGAGATTCATTTACATCGATGTATACTCGAATATATATAATTCTATCTCGATACAAGTTGACAACTTATTATTATCTCTATACTATTAATTAAAGGCATGCATTAATATCAAACGGCAAAACGAAATGACGCAGATAATAATTGTCTCCCTTGCACAGTTACCGCCATGTCTTTTTCGCATTTCAATGTTTATGACAGATTAAGTTTACCTCACTTGGTGTGTGATAGCTTTTCTTCATGTCTTGTCTGTTGTCAAAAGAATTTATACGAACGAATGCTTTTATTCGTGAAGAATACAAAAATGAAAGGCAAATTAGTTTCTTACTTACAACTGATAACTGAATTAGATTTATGCCGAAAGCATGAAGCTTCTTTAGAAATCCGTAGCAATGGAGCCTTATAAGATTTTCATATATAATTAGCCCCCTGCCTGGCATCCATATCAATGTTTGCTTTGCCGCTACTTGCATGCACAATTTTTCTAATTTGTCTTCCACATGCTTGTTGCCAGGCGTTAAATTCATTCTTCGGTTTCTTGTCATAAATATTTTTCCTAGAATTTGTTACGTTTTCGAATAAACCGCTATCTCTGTGCGTTCACAAACGAAGAAAATCATTGTCGTGTTGCGCCATCTTGAGACTGCATTTCCTTGGCAAAAGTATGTGCATATGCGACGTTATATTTAATCCTGTTCCGGCTGATGAATTGTAGCTAGCTTCTTGCCATTAAATCACTATCACTATGTCAAGTTTCCCTAGTTTCACCAATACAGACAGAATTTCACAGGCTTGAACCCGTCTTTCCATAATCGCGGGGTCAACTTCTCTTTATTATCTTCGTTTTCATCATGCCGACAAAAAAAAAATCCAATTTGTAAAATATTTTATATATGGTATTTCATTTTCTGAGACAACTGTTTTCCTTTAATAATTCAATCATACCGAGTTACTCAGTTTTTTGTGGATATTTGCATAATCATAGTAAAATACATATAAGACAGAAAAAAAAAGAGTTTTATTTGAGAAAAAAATCGCGTGGAAAATTCTTCCTAATACATCTACTTAATCTATTATTTGCATCAATGGCTGCTTTAGTGCTAGGACTGACCCGTTAGAATTCCTGAATTGAGTGATCTTTATCTATTTGGGGCATTGTTCTAGCTAAGCCGGACTTCATAGATTTTATAGTTTCGTGGATTACTAGGCTCATAGGCTTGGACTAGATGGGAAATCATTGCTATAGGATC